ACACCAGCCAAGACGCACAAGGGCTGGCAATCTGAGCTAGATCAACGAAGTCCATGCGGCAGTGGCAGACATGCCAAGCCTCGGTTCAATTGCGTTAACCTAAAATACCGTGAGTGTGCAGGAAAGCTGGTGGTAGTCGATGATATTGCGTAAAACCCGAGACTGGTGAGGGAAAAAAAAAAAAGACACACTGAGAGTTTCACTCCTGTGTCATTTGTCTTCAACTCCAAAATGCATTTCTTTTTCTCCGACACAATCTCGGGTTTTACACAATATGCGTTAACCTGTTGGGACAGAGGTTGGAATGGATTGCCACTGTTCCCTATATTGTAGAACTGTGACAATCCATTTTGTGACTTAGCGTGCCGGAGGCAGCCGATGCGGAATTTTAATGCGAAAGCATCAACTGTCCCGTAGAGCGAAGCCGGCGGCTTGTGCAGCCGTTGTCTGTAGCAGCGAAAGACGGCACCTAAATGCCCATTGGCTGAGCGAAACGGCATTTAAAGTCCCATTGGCTGCGACGCGTCGTATCAGACGCTTCGTCACGGAAGAAGGCGAGGCCGCTCGAGGTCAAAGCGGACGCGCCTCACAAATAAAACACACAAAAAAGCACAGCAACGCAGATACATCGTCACGGGAGCCGTGGAGCCGGCGGCCGCGCCGCTCCTGCGCAGTGGGGGAGCCATGATGTCACCGCCGAAGCGCCGTCTGAAAAAGGAAGACGTTGCGCACTGCTTGTACCAAGGCGCTGCGTGTAGGAATGTTTTCGCATTCCTACACGTAAGCAATTTTAAGTGACTCTGCCGAATTTTATCCTTTCCGGCTGGAGCTCACTTCAGTCGGCTCATACTGCCGCTCGCTAGATAAAAGTTCAATTGAGAAACCACACCCAGGGCTGACGCCTAATAAAAAAGCAAAATTGAACGTTCAATGTCTAGGCTGCGTTTATTGACACCTAAACTGATCGTTCACAATTGGAGAGAACAAAGCGGAAGAAAATTAACAAAAGCGCGTTTAGCCGATAGCGACAATAACAACAAGGACGACGACGACGACGGCGGCGACGAAAACGACCGAGGCGGCATCCGTTCGTGCTCCGGTGAGGCCGAGCTTGGCCGAGCAGCCTTTATCGATCTTGGCGGCGGTTGGAGGCAGTGGCGAGGGTGAGTGACGTCAGACCCCGACGTCAGAGCGACGCGTTTTGCTCCGCGCTGCAGCGTGGCCTCGCGCGAGATTTGCGGGACCGCGGGCTTGGAGCCCTTCCTGTCGCTAGGCCCAAGCACGTGGCCGGTCAGATATAAGGGTTACTAACGCGCAGGAAAGCTCCGCGGAAAGGAGAGAGATGGGGAAGAGGATACGCCTGATGCCTGCCTCTCTCACACACACACACAAACACACACTCTCCCAGCCTTGTTTTCTTCGTGCTTCCTCCTATCGGACTTCGGAGTGGTGGGGATTAGGCTCCTGACCGTTCCAGAAGACGCTAATCCGAGACTAATTCGACGGGGATGAGCGTTCATACGCCTGGCATACCGACCGGCTCCTCAACGTCGGATTCGAGGTCGACCGTTCTTCGTTCTTTTTTTCTTCGGTGTACGTAAACCGATGGAGATGTTGACACTAACTTCCCAATGCCGGCTACTCCTTAATCAGTGTTACCGAAATAGTAATAATAATAAGAAAAAAAAACAGTGGTGTTTAATACTCGGTGTTTACAATAACCACCACGGTACTTAACAGTCAAAATGTGCTTATTCACCCACGATCCGCACGTATTCCGGCAGATGTTAGCCTGCCTTTCAATTCATAACAAAACAAAAATCGGAAGGAGCAAAGAAACAACAAAACGTAAATATTGACCACGATCAGTACTGCGTTTCATTGCGGTAGACCCTCGTCAATGCAGACAAAAACAATAAATAAGAAATTCTCCGAAATTCAGAAAAGCAGAATGCGTGTGGGAAGATTTTCATTTCAGTAACGTTTATTCACCAAACTTTTTTTTTTTTTCGGGGGGGGGGGGGGGGGGGGGGGGAAGGGGGGGGGGGTTGGCGGCAATTAAAAAAACCAACAACAATCTTGGCTTTTCTTCCTTTGTTACTTTTCGACTAAGCAATAGCGCAGGGAGCGAGAGTCTTCGTGACAGTGATTTGTCGTCGAAGCTGCATCTCTGGCGCAAGACAAGCGCTCGGAAAATGCCGTCGCCCTTGCAATCCGCGAGAATTGCATGGCAACGCACGTTTCTACCTTATGCACGACCACTCATCAGGGCGACAGCTACGACAGAAAATGGGAACACTTGTTTTTGTCCGGGGTTCAATATTCTGCACCAAAAAATAATATATGTATATATATATATATATAACGTGGCGCGCGAATAATGTTGAACGGTTGACAGGGCAATTTTAGTAATTGTTTTTCTTTTGTCTAAACGAAAATGCGCCGACAGTACGTAGTGCCTGAACCGTCCCCAAAAAGATGGCCATTTTTTTCTGGGACGTTTTTATTTCATTAGCTATTCTTACACCCCAGCCTTTTATAGTTTTGCTCTAAACACGTTCCACCGACTCTGTACTACACGCCCGCTTGTTTCGCCAAGGTTTTGTTTTTCCTTCGACGCGGCTCTTCTATTGTCAAGGGAGCGCAGAGGATTGTCTCACTCTCCATATATCGACGACTGGGCGACCACCCGGGCACTTGCGCAAGTCTGACGTCGCCACCAAGAGGAGAAAAGGGCAGACAGATTTGAAATTGAATGGGGCTTGCAACACTCGCCTAGAAGGAGAGATATATGGCCAGATTTATTTTGCTCGACTGCGATTCGTGCAGATTTCCCTGGCCGCCCTCGAACCCTTCCCCTCCCAGCATGCCTCTTTCTCGCAAACAAAAAGGATGTTCGCTGATGAAGCGAGCAACGAAGTTTCGGGAGTCTAGACACCTGACAGATGGATTGACTTTCGAATCGCTTATACGCTTACGCTTGCCTGCACATACTGCAGAATTATATATATATATATATATATATATATATATATATATATATATATATATATATATATATATATTTATATATTTATATATTTATTTAATTATTTATTTTTTTTGCATGAATTTCATTAAGCTCTATTTCTTGAGGTGAAATTATATAAAAAAGGTCCAAATAAAAAAAGAAAGGCGGCTATATCACGGCAAATTAAACGTCAATTAATCACTTTTTTTTATTTTTTCGAACTATTATCAGTAGCCGGACGGGACAAATTGCGGCTGAAAAAAGAAAAAAAAAATGTTTTCTTAGGTAGTCCGCACCCGGTGGATTGGTTGCAAATTAAACAATCTTCCTAGACAATATACCTTCAAAATGTCTGATTTCTTAGCGCAAGAAGAGGCTTGTATCGTACAGAAATCATAATTAGCATAATCAGTCACTCATAAAATCCTTGTCATAATGAACGATCTCGAAAAACAAATCAAGTCCGCACCTGTAGACAGTCCGCATCGCGTAGAATTTTAACTTTTAAATAAACGTTACTGGGCGGTCTACGGTATAGCACGCCGAAACCTGCCAGAAAGACGCATGCGGATACAACCGGCCAAATGCGCCTGTTTCCGGACGCACGATTCGCTCCCACAAATTCGACCTTTGTCCGCCCGCGGCATGTGACGACGCTCGTCGATGTCTCCCCGGCTTCGGCACTTACCGCTGGGACTCCGCCTAACGGTGTCCCTCGCGGAACAGCGTTCGACGGAGCGCGGACTCCGCACCGTAGGCGTCTCACGCAGAGACTCCGCCGCAGAAAAACGGCATCGCGAGAAATGCATCAGCGCGACGGCGTCGACGAAGCGCGAGGCCGCCGGAAACGCGAAAACAAGGCCGGGCATTTCAATAGCGATTCCGTGTTTTCACTATATTTAGACGCGGCTCGTTCGATATAGACTGGCGCTAGCTCGGGGCTCTGCCGCCGACTTGGTGATGAATCGCAGCGGGGTTGTCGGTTGCCGCCCGGGAACGGCCCGCAGACGTGTTGGGCCCGGGTAAATTGCCCCGAGAAGAATATGAATAGTACACTCTAACGACGACGCAACGTTTGTGTAGTAAGAAACACAAAAAGCATACAAAGACATCGAGCCCTTTACAAACCGTGATGGCCAGGGCAGTGTCGAAATAGGCACGGTTTGAGGTTGCTCGGGAGCTCTATCGCAGAGGCCGTTCGCACAGGCGGTGAGCGTTCTGCGGTCCCGCGTACGTCGCAGCACCGATGGCCGGATTCGCATTGGCTCCGAAATTGGACTGGAACAAACGTTCAGTTAACGAATAAAAACAAAGAACGTCAGACCTGATTAAGACCTGACGTTTGTTCGTGTCCAATTTCAGATGCAGATTTCATCTCCCATCTTTCTACCCACGCAATCTCACATTTTTCTTCCACCATCTTACATTTCTCTACCCAGACTACATTGCTACGTGGGTTTGTCTTTGTGTGTTTCTGATCAATCTCATCACGTGACGCTGTCGTGGTAATTACGCTGTTTTCCTGCACTCAGGGACAACTTTCCGTTGCGATTCAGACGGAGTGGAAAGCGAGCGTGCGAGAGCGTATACGCGCTGCACTCGGGTCGGCGAGCCTCTTCTCGACTCTGGATCCAAGCGAGCAGCCAAGCGCGCAGGCGTCAGTATATACAGTGGCTAATATCAGATCCGCTGCCGGAAGTCCTACGTCGGCCAGTCGGCTGCAGCTCTGCGCTCTGCGGCGTCCTGCTAAGGTCCGCTCCTTGGGGACGCCCTTTGGGCGACGTAACTCGCAAACATTGCGGCACAAACACCAGACGGGGAAGCACGCCGAGGAGACGCTTCCACGGGTTCCCAAGGGACCCGCGGGGCCGGAAGTCACGTCTGGACCGCTTTCGGGCGCATACGTGGTCGGGATTTGAAGAGAACAATAGAGAGTGTTTGTGATTTTTTTTAGTCTGCCCAGAATTAAAATAAACAATAAGTAACTTGCGTTAGGGTTCTTTCAGCCCTGGTGCCAGGTTGCTGGCCATCGGGGACGCTAGAAAAGAGGTGAAACGACTTAATTAGTTATCTAATTAACTAAAAAGTTCCGATTAACTTTTTAATTCTTCATTTTTGGAGGCATAATGTATACCTTAGGGCAGTGACGTTCGACCTCAATGCGGTTCAACCATGCCGTGCAATTTTGATTAAAACTACATGGCGAGAAATGCCACCCTTGTATAGCGGCGTTATGGCTGATGGCTTCGCTTGCGGAGCCGGCGAAGGGCAGAGCGATCGACGTCACTGGCGCTAGATGGGCAGGAGAGGAAAAATCCATGTGCTTTCTAGGCTAAGTGGCGCAAGCTAGAGCTTCTCGCTTTGTAGCGCCCACTACGCAGTTTTAATCAAAATTTCACCGTAAACGAGGTCGAGGGTCAGTTCTCCGAATACACTATGCCATAAAAATGTAAAAGAAGTTTAATATAAATTTCTTCGTTAATTATCTAACTAATTAACTAATTTTGCATCTTCTTCTAGTGGCCGCCATGGCCACTAAAACTTGGCTCAAAACAAAAGCACTATCGCAAATTCCCCTAAAAAAAATATTGTGAATTGACCAAGCAAGAAACGCAAGGCTGTATATATAGCTTCTCTTACGACACGCCTTTTGATATTCGTGTCGCCTGATATTATCGTCGTCCGCCCAGAACATTGGCTATCCGATCAGCTGTGCTAATTGCAAGAACAGATAGGCACTTACTCTGTTCCTGTTTTTTTTTTTTTTTTTTTTTTTTCTTATTTTGCGCATTCAAAAAATTAAAAAGAAAACTACCGATTTGAGCAAAACAATTGTCACTCTAATTTACGTTTCCTTCTTCGTGTGGCATTCTGGAATCCACGGTGCGTGTGCACAACCCTACAGCAAGCTATTCACAGAAGGCATTCTGCGGAGTCGCACCCTCGCGCCTGTGCCATCGATAGCCTCCTTGCACACACAACTTGTGTACAACACCACCACTCGTCGCATTGGCAACCGAGAAGATGCACGCACCAACCAACACCCGGTCCCACTGCCAGTACACCGTACAACAGACAATCTGCCGACGCTGTCGGAGGTTTTCCCCGCACAGCAGTCCATTGGTCACGCCTAAACTGCCCGGAGACATATCCGAAGCATATGTATGAAACAAACATGTTTCGAACATCTTGAGGCATGTCCGCGGACCATTCTGTCGTCCTGTCTGCCTGCAAACACCGTCTCTTCTCTACGATGCGTGAGCATCTACAAATCGCCTTACGATGATCCCTGGAGATCACACAGGCAAATTCCGGCAGCAATATACTATACTACCGGCATTACACCAAGCACAACTGATGTCCCCGTGATCTGTCAATCGAGCGCCTTCGATTTCGCGAGAACGGCACCCCGTTTTATTGAGAAGAACGATGATTCAATACCAAACTCCTCCAATTCCCCTTCTAATCCCAACTTCCTTGGATCCGAACGACTTCTCGGTACGGCGTGGCGACACCAAAGAACCCAAGGGGCCCAAAGGCGAAAGAATGCAGTATACCCTGGGCGGAAGTCCTAACGGATCAGACCCCATTACGGTGAAGGAGAATGGGGGTGAGGGGGTGGGGAAGGTGATGCAAAGCGATCCAATTCGTCTCAGAAAGACAGTGCCTAGAAACCGAGGGGTCGATTTCGCTCGATACGGACTCTGCGGGTTTGGGATCGATGTGCTGTCGGTGCGCGCGACTCTGGACGTCCGTTGCATATCCCGAGGCCGTTCGCGCGGCGGTCGACCCATTTGATTTGCCGCAAACTTCGTCGCCTATCCAAGCTCTCGATAGGAAAGCGGTCGCGGGTGTATGGACGCGCAGCGCCGCGCTGAAGTTCCTCGAGATGCTAATGTCTTCGAGGAACCCCTCGGAGTATGTCATGGTTTGGTGCCGCACCCTTGCGCTCGAGCCAAGCTCCACGATTCGTGCACAATCCGAAGGGAAGAAACGCGCGACTGCGAGGTTTTTAAAACAATTTCATGGCGTTGGGGGCGTTTATTGTTTAATATTCCGAGTTCCGGTAAATATCAAAGAAAAAAAAGTGAAATAGTTTCATTGACGTGTTGGGCTCTCTCATTGGCGGTAAACCAACCCCAAAAAGCTTGTTCCTTAGTCAAATATCCGGTATATCTAACCAATCTACAAATAAAATACTCGGTGTTTTTCTTCTTTTTCTGAGAGCGTTTACGAAGGGAAGACGCCAGCGGCTAGAGGGAGCCTCCGTGCTGTTTAGAGTAGAGTTCCTGTATAGGCTCCCTACGGGAGCCAGAGTTGCGCATTTGTTTTCCCCGCGCCGCCACGCCGCTATTCGCCGAGATCCATCACGTGAGGAGCAAAGCATCCGTTGGCGTGCAAGAAAGCCACCTTTACGGTCGCTCCGCCGACGTTTCTCTTGCCCCGGCGTATGTTTCCCTGCCTTCCGCCTCCTTTTCCTCCTCTCCTATTTTCGATGCTAGGCGGCGCGCGCGGCGCCGCTATTCGCCAAATTTAGTCACGTGAGGAGCAAAGCATCCAGCTCGTGCGGGAAAGCCGGCGCTACGGCCACGCGCCGAGGCTGAATGCGCAACTCTGCTACCGTAGGTAGCTATACAGGAACTCTAGTTTAGAGGTAACTTATACAGATCCGTTTCACCTTCCGACGGACCACTGCTGGTGCTCCGAGCCATCCCAGCCAATACAGCTTCGGGAACGAAACCACGCGACCAGGCGCCTCGCGCGCCGCTGCAAGGCCACGTGACACACGTCATTGGATTGGCTCCGATACCTCGTGGCGTCTGTTGCGCCCCATCGAAACGGAGTGTCCACTCTCCATCCGATGCGATATTTACGTTTTCCACTTCCCGACACTACGGAAACGAGGAAAGTGATGTACATCCGCTTGTGCCAACATCGGCTGCTTCCGGTGTCCGTACAGAGAAAGGACGTGTGAAGTACCGCGTGTGCAGCCTGGTGCAGCTGTCGACCGCAGCTTTCGGGGACAGAATCGGAGATAAGAAAGAGCGTATACTTGTGCATGTAGGTCCAGGGTTCGATAAAAGCGTCATCCGGCTATACCAATCGCGGCGCTTTATACTGCGCCGGATAGGATGAGTCGGCGATTGTCAATGCGCGAAAACGAGGAGCGCCGTGACAATGCATTTTTTGCCGCTGCCTGATTGGCTCCCGAGGATCGTCGGCTGCGCTCGGACTTGGTGTGAAGCGGAGTACACATAACAAGAGGCCCAGTGTTGGGATTTTCAGCGTCCCCCGAAGGAGGGGAACGCGGGGCACGAGCGTTGCTTGAGCGTTCGGCTAGAGGACTCGTGTTCTCGCCGACAGAACACGAGTCGCAGCCCAACGCTGAAGGCAAGACTCGTGGTCCCCGTTGGCCTTCTTTGGGCGGCGCCGGAAATTCAGCACCAAGGCTTTGTTGCTTAGGCGTTGTGTTGCTCCGACCCGGGTCGCGCGAAATACTTTCCCGGTGATTCAGGCTTGCCAAACGCGGAAAGCCGGAAAAAGTTTCACCATTGTATACTCTCAACCAACGTATATAGGTAATATATAGGAAATCTGGCACGCCCCAGCGGAGGACTGAGGATTCATTTCAACCACATCAGACAGCTCCGTTATGCGGTGAATAGACCCCTTTCGAAAGTCACGTGCCGATTATTTAGAAGGTCAGAACCACTGCACAATGACGGAACAACTGCCAGCGTGGAACGTGCAAGTCATTCCATGCGATAGCGAACGTCGGAGCGCGGTCAACGCAAGGAGTCGACGAGCCAATCAAACAGTGTCGAAAATGCACCACCACTGCGTTTTTTTTTTTTCTTTTTTTTTTCTTTTTTTTTTTTTTTTGAGGGCGAGTCTTGCTTTTTAGTTTAACCAAACGAATGAAGTGTGCAGTGTGCCGTGCCGTTGCGATCTTAGTCCGCCATTGTGCAGGGATTCCACAACTGCCAACAGAGGGCACTATTTCGATTTTCTCGAAATCTCCGTCATATTGTGGACAGCTCGAGGCTCGTCCGGGATTCGAACCCGCCACCTGGGGATCCGGGCCGGCGCTTTGTCTCGGAACCACCGAGGTGACTTTTGTGCAAGTGTATGTGTGCGTGTGTTTTAGTCCAAGAGGAGCCAGTATTTTAACGATAGGGCGCGTTAAGGGAAGCACATTCTATTCTATACATAATCACGCAACATAAGTAAGGATACAGCCGAAACACGGCCTAACCGCACCGGTGGCTCCGAGGCAAAGTGCCGGCCTACGGATCCCCAGGTGGCGGGTTCGAATCCCGGCCGAGGTGCCCGCAATCTTGCGGAGAAGGCGCCGTGAAACGTCAAAAGATCCCATGAGATCGAAATTAATCTCCTCTGGGGCGTACCAGATGCCCGTCACTGGTTTGGCGCGTGAAACCCCGAAATTTGACTCGAAATACGGCCATTATCGTTTTAATCAACATTTTAAACCTTCTAAAAAAAAGTGGCTTCCCGTCACTATACATGGGACGTCTTAATTTTTCGGACGAGCTGAAACCCCCAGCAATTTCCGTTCTGCCTAAATATAGAATAGTAAACCCGGGGCCCAATGTTGCTTTTTGCGTGTTAAATAAAAGAATACTCAGCGTGTACGTGCGTAGTACACGAGTGCGTCGTAGAGGCTACGACACAGGCTGGACACGCACGACGCTGATGGCGCCGTCACCGGGCACCGCATGCCGAAAGCATTGCGGCAATTTTATCTCGCATTAGCTAAATTAGGTCGTGGATTGTTGGGGCGAGCCTAGAAAAGGCGCATGGTTAAATAATATCAGCGGGGCTTTCTCACGTACCTTTCGAAAGCCGTTAAAGGACAAAAAAAAAAGGGGAGAAACAAGCGTTGTACGTAGCAGATATCAAATACAGTGTGTGACGCGTTTAATAAGAACTTAGGACAGTGGATCACCAACGAGTGCGAAATTGAAGCCGATTCTACGCCAGGCCGCTCTGCTCAAAGGAACAGAGGAACAGCAATAG